GTACCCACACCGTCTAGGTACACTGCATACCCACACCGGTCTAGGCACACTGCATACCCACACTGTCCAGGCACATGTATACCCACACTGTTCAGGCACACTGTATACCCACACTGTCCAGGCACACTGCATACCCACACTGTCTAGGCACACTGTATACCCACACTGTCCAGGCACACTGCATACCCACACCGTCTAGGTACACTGCATACCACACTGTCTAGGCACACTGTATACCCACACTGTCCAGGCACACTGTATACCCACACTGTTCAGACAACAGACACCCACACTGTCTAGGTACACGCATACCACACTGTCCAGGCACACTGTATACCCACACTGTCTAGGCACACTGTATACCCACACTGTCTAGGCACACTGCATACCCACACTGCTCCAGCACACTGTATACCCACACTGTTCAGGCACACTGCATACCCACACTGTCTAGGCACACTGTATACCTCACTGCTAGGACACTGCATACCCACACTGTCTAGGGCACACTGTATACCCACTGTCTAGGTACACTGTATAATCCACACTGTCCAGGCACACTGTATACCCACACTGTCCAGGCACACTGTATACCCACACTGTCTAGGTCACACTGTATACCCACACTGTCTAGGTACACTGTATACCCACACCCACACACCCATACCCCAGGCACACATGCACTGCACACCCACACCAACCACACTGTCCAGGCACACTGTCATACCCACACTGTTCAGGCACACTGCATACCCCACACTGCTCCAGGCACACTGTATACCCACACTGTTCAGGCACACTGTATACCCACACTGCCTTAAGCACACTGTATACCCACACTGTCTAGGCACACTGCATACCCACACTGTCAGGACACATACCCACACTGTCCAGGCACACTGCATACCCACACTGTCTAGGCACACTGTATACCCACACTGTCTAGGCACACTGTATACTCACACTGTCTAGGTACACTGCATACCTACACTGTCCAGGTACACTGTATACCCACACTGTCCAGGCACACTGTATACCTACACTGCTCCACACTGTATACCACACTGTCCAGGACACATACCCACTGCCAGGCACACTGTATACCCACACTGTCTAGGTACACCGTATACCCACTGTCCAGGCACACTGTATACCACACTGTTCGGCAATACTGCATACCCACACTGTCTAGGCACACTGTATACCCACAATTGTCCAGGCACACTGCATACCCACACTGCCCAGGCACACTGTATACCCACACTGTCCAGGCACACTGTATACCTACACCGTTCAGGCACACTGTATACCACACTGCCCAGGCACACTGTATACCACACTGCCCAGGCACACTGCATACCACACTGCCTAGGTACACTGTATACCTACACTGTCTAGGTACACTGCATTACCTACACTGTCCAGGCACACTGTATACCCACACTGTTCAGGCACACTAACACCAGGTACACGTATACCCACACTGTCTAGGTACACTGTATACCAACTGTCCAGGCACACCGTATACCCACACTGTCCAGGCACACTGTATACCCACACTGTCCAGGTACACCGTATACCTACACTGTCTAGGTACACGTATACCTACACTGTCTGGCACTGTATACCCACACTGTTCAGGCACACTGCATACCACACTGTCTAGGCACACTGCATACCCACACTGTCTGCAACACTGTATACCCACACTGTCTAGGTACACTGTATACCTACACTGCTCCAGGTACACTGTATACCTACACTGTTCAGGCACACTGCATACCTACACCGTCCAGGCACACTGTATACCCACTGTCTAGGTACACTGTATACCTACACTGTCTAGGTACACTGTATACCTACACTGTTCAGGCACACTGTATACCCACACTGTTCAGGCACACTGTATACCCACACTGCCCGGGCACACTGCATACCCACACTGTCCAGGCACACTGTATACCCACACCGTTCAGGGCACACCGTATACCCACACTGTTCAGGTACACTGTATACCACACTGTCTAGGCACACTGTATACCTACACTGTCTAGGACACTGTATACCCACACTGTTCAGGTACACTGTATACCCACACTGTCTAGGTACACTGTATACCTACACTGTCTAGGTACACTGTATACCTACACTGTCTAGGTACACTGCATACCTACACTGTTCAGGCACACTGTATACCTACTGCCTAGGTACACTGTATACCTACACTGTTCAGGTACACCTGTATACCCACACTGTCCAGGCACACTGCATACCCACACTGTCTGGGTACACTTCAACCCACACTGTCTAGGCACACTGTATACCCACTGTCTAGGCACACTGCTATACCCACACTGTTCAGGTACACTGTATACCTACACTGTCTAGGCACACTGTACCCACACTGTCTAGGACACTATACCACACTGTCTAGACACGTATACCACACTGTCAGGACACTGCATACCAGTCTAGGCACACTGTATACCCACACTGTCTAGGAATACACTGTCTGGCACACTACCCACACTGTCCAGGCACACTGTATACCTACACTGTCTAGGTACACTGTATACCCACACTGTCCAGGTACACTGCATACCTACACTGTCTAGGTACACTGTATACCTACACTGTCTAGGCACACTGTATACCTACACTGTTCAGGCACACTGTATACCCACACTGCCCAGGTACACTGTATACCTACAACTGCCCAGCACACTGTATACCTACACTGTTCAGGCACACTGTATACCCACACTGTCTGGGTACACTGTATACCTACACTGTCTAGGCACACTGTATACCTACACTGTCTAGCACACTGTACCTACACTGTCCAGGTACACTGTATACCTACACTGTTCAGGTACACTGTATACCTACACTGTCTAGGTACACTGTATACCTACACTGCCTAGGCACTGTATACCTACACTGTCTTGCTCCAGGGGTACACTATACACCCACACTGCTCCAGGGGTGAATACCCGTATACCTACCACCCGTGTAGGTACACTATATACCTACACCTGTCTAGGTACACTGTATACCTACATCAAAGTCTAGGGTATTACTGTATACCACACTGTCTAGGCACACCGTATACCTACACTGTCTAGGTACACTGCATACCTGCCACTGCTCCAGGGTACACTATATACCACACTGCTCCAGGTACACTATATACCTACATCACCCAGTGAAGCCACCATATACCTACACTGGCCCAGGGTACACTGTATACCCACACTGTTCCAGTACACTGTCTAGGTACACTGTCTAGGTACACTGTATACCTACACTGTCTAGGTACACTGTATACCTACACTGTCTAGGTATTCTGTATGCCTGCAATGTCTAGGTACACTGTCTAGGTACACTGTATACCTACACTGTCTAGGTACACTGTATACCTACACTGTCTAGGTACACTGTCTAGGTACACTGTATACCTACACTGTCTAGGTACACTGTATACCTACACTGTCTAGGTACACTGTATACCTACACTGTCTAGGTACACTGTATACCTACACTGTCTAGGTACACTGTATACCTACACTGTCTAGGTACACTGTATACCTACACTGTCTAGGTACACTGTATACCTACACTGTCTAGGTACACTGTATACCTACACTGTCTAGGTACACTGTATACCTACACTGTCTAGGTACACTGTATACCTACACTGTCTAGGTACACTGTATACCTACACTGTCTAGGTACACTATATACCTACACTGTCTAGGTACACTGTATACCTACACTGTCTAGGTACACTATATACCTACACTGTCTAGGTACACTGTATACCTACACTGTCTAGGTACACTGTATACCTACACTGTCTAGGAACACTGTATACCTACACTGTCTAGGTACACTGTATACCTACACTGTCTAGGTACACTGTATACCTACACTGTCTAGGTACACTGTATACCTACACTGTCTAGGTACATTGTATACCTACACTGTCTAGGTACATAGGGAGGCGTGATAGGCAGATAGGAAAGCGTTTCAGACGTGATAGATAGGCGTGATAGATAGGCGTGATAGGTAGGGAGGCGTTATAGGTAGGGAGGCGTGATAAACAATAGGTGAATCAGGTTGAGAGAGATAGGCGTGATAGGTAGAGAGGCGTGATAGGCAGATAGGAAAGTGTTTCAGACGTGTTGGATAGGCGTGATAGGTAGGGAGGCGTGATAGGCAGATAGGAAAGCGTTTCAGACGTGATAGATAGGCGTGATAGGTAGGGAGGCGTGATAAACAATAGGTGAATGAGGTTGGGAGAGAGATAGGCGTGATAGGTAGGACGGCGTGATAAACAATGGGTAAATCAGGTTGAGAGAGAGATAGGCGTGATAGGTAGGCGTGTACAGAACATGACTAGCACCCTGTCAGTCACTTAACATTAAGGAATAAATTATGGAAAAACAAACCTCAAAATAGACCTAAAGTTACCTAATAAAACCCAAATAATAAATTAAAATACAATAAATAAATTAATGGTAATATAGTAGTAGTTATTAGGTTATTATTGGGTGATATATTAATTATTGTATCCAGAGTTAAGTTCATCCATTGGCTTTGTTGATACCAGGGTCATATGATGGTGAGTGATCCATGTTGTAGAGTTACCACGAACGGCTCTGACGGACCTATCTAGTTTTTTTGGGAGGATTAGTTTAATTATTTGTTAGTTAATTAATTGTTATTTATTTTGGGATTGTTAAGTTAGGTTAGGTTAGGTTAGGTTAACTAGGAATGTTAAGGTTATATAAAATTAATTATTTATGAAGTTAAATTGTATTAACTATAACTAGATTAAGTTACTGAGGATACAATAATGGCTTTAAAAAAATATAATCCCACTAAATTAATTAATATACCTTAAAAGAATAACAATATAAATTAATTAACCATAAAATAATAAAATAATAAACATGATAATAATTTAGTCCCGTTATGAGTGTTCGTGGTGAGTGAACCAACATCGTCCATCTTGTTCATTAAGAGGGGGTAATGGCTGCTGAGATCAAGCCACTCCGGAGCTCTCACCCCACCAAGCCCACCAGCACTGACAGACCCGTGCTGGTGGCTAAGATAGAAGGTAGTGGTGATGATGTTAACGCTGCTATACTCCTTAATGGTGCCACCGGAGTTATATCTGTTAGTGATGACAAGTAAGATATACCTTCAGTAATATGTTTTATTTTATCATTAAACTATAAGTATTTATCTTATATATAATTCATGGTTTATATATTATACTGTATTTATATTATTAACGGATTATATTGTTTAAATGACAAATATTTCCCTTTATTCAATATCATTATTTGGCTTTATTGTGTTAAATAATTACTACTTTACTTTAGGTTCATTTTAACTTAATATATCAATAACGTCAAGTAACTTTATTATAGTTAAAATATTATATTTATTATGTTCATTTTAACTTAATATATTTGTCTTATTAACTGAGGTAAAGTATTATTAATTATCTTTAGTTAACTTTATTGTGTTAAATTATTATTAGTTTACTTTAGGTTCATTTTAACTTAATTATTAGTTTATTTTGTGATTATTTCTTATAAGTGTTGACAAATGATTAATTACTATTATTATTATTATTATTATTATTTTTATTATTATTATTATTGTTATTATTAGTTATTATTATTATTATTATTATTATTATTATTATTATTATTATTATTATTACTATTACTATTATTATTATTATTGTTGGATAGTTAGACAGACAGACATAAAGCTATACAGTATATATGGTTCATAATAAAGGCCCCCCCATAGATCAGTGCGCATCTGGCAGCGTCGAGACTCAGGACAGTACTGGCCTAGTGTGTGTCACTTCCTGCCGTCAGTACCAACTTGTCTACACTACATAGCTGACACCAAGAGATTATTTCTGGGTCTAGATAATGGCACTGTTGTGGTGAGTATAACCTGACCTAACCTAATCTAACGTAAGGTAACCTGACCTGACCTAACCTAACCTGACCTAACATTACCTAATCTAACGTGACCTAATCTAACGTAACGTAACCTAACCTAACCTAACCTAATCTAACGTAAGGTAACCTGACCTAACGTAACCTAACTTAACCTAACCTAACGTAACCTGACCTGACCTAACGTAATCTAACTTAACCTAACGTAACATTACTATTGTTATTATTATTATTACTGTTATTGTTGTTGTTATTACTGTTATTGTTGTTATTATTTATACTCTACATTATTGGCAGGAGTTCTCAGTGTCGCAGGACTACAACAGCATAAACCAAGTACGAGAATACCTGAGTCATCAAAACAGAGTGACGGACGTTATCTTCTGCCCGACCAACGAATGGCTCCTCTCGGTGGCTCGCGACAAGTTCTTCGTTTACCACTGCACGGAGAGCGGCCGCAGGCTAGGAGGCCACCAGTGCTCCGGCTGGTGTACGGCCCTACAGTACGACGAGAAAAGTAAACACATATTTGTCGGGGATTATAGCGGCCAGATCACCATGTTGAAGTTGGAGGAAGGCGGACCGCAGATCATTACAGTGCTTAAGGTATGGGGTTTGTGTAGAGGGTGTGTTAGGGTGTGTCAGGGTGTGTTAGGGTGTGTCAGGGTGTGTCAGGGTGTGTTAGGGTGTGTCAGGGTGTGTCACAAGTACTGTACAGGATACACCCTATGCATGTGTTGTGGACCTACTGCATAACACAGCCTACATAACACACCCTAACACCACACCCAACAATGTTATATGAGCACTCACCTTAGTATGAAGTTAACAGTAGTCTCCAGCTCTATGAATGCTGATCCTGACAGAGAACAGTTCACAGTGTTGTTCTTGTTCATCTGGAGAGACAGAGAAGAACTGTTCATTGATGTTCAACTGTTAATGTTAAGTTATATTATTGATGTGTGCGTGTGTGAAGGAGTTAGTTTGTGTTTATATATGTATGTATGTATATATGTATGTATGTGTATGTATGTTTATTAACCTAACACTCTTTCACAGGGTCACAATGGGTCAATCAGATCGTTAGCATGGGATATGGACCGCCAACTGCTGTTCTCGGGATCGTTCGACCAATCAGTCATCGTTTGGGACATTGGTGGGAGGAAGGGAACTGCTTTTGAACTACAAGGTCACACGTAAGTTAATGATCTCAGGTGATATTAACATCTTCACTACAGGACGACACTTTTAATATATGGTTAACAACAGGTGACCCCATACACAAGGTGATTAAGATTGAAATGAAATAATATAAAATTCTATATAATATGAAATAAGTTAAATGAGGTGAAGTTAAGTTCGGTTAAATATATCAACAACATATTATCCACAGGAGTAAAGTGTCAGCCGTTATTTACAGGACTAAAGTGTCAGCTTATCCACAGTAGTAAAGTGTCAGCTTATCCACAGAACTAAAGTGTCAGCTTATCCACAGGAGTAAAGTGTCAGCTTTGGTGTATGGTAAGAATTGTCACCAGCTGATCTCAGGAGCAGAGGACGCCACTATTGTCTTCTGGGATATGAAGGCTGATAGACAGGAGGTGAGGCTATGTCTGTATGTCTGTGTGTGTATGTGTGTGTGTGTGTGTCTGTCTGTCTGTCTGTCTGTGTGTGTATGTGCGTGTCTGTATGTCTGTTAATATGTATGTATGTCTGTTAATATGTGAGAGCCCTAGTGAGTAAAATATTGTTAAAACACCATTAAACCTAACTTAGGCCCTACAGACCTAACCCAGAGACCTAACCTAGACCCAAGAGACCCTAACCTAACCTAGACACCTAACCTGACCCAGTTCACCAGAGACCTAACCTAGACCCTAACTACTACTCCTTAGACCCCAAAGAACCTAACCTAAACCCTCACTACTTCCCCCCCCAGACCCCAGAGTGGCTTGAAGCAGACTCATGTCAGTACTGCGAGCGGCCATTCTTCTGGAACCTAAGAGCCATGGTGGACCAAAAGCAGATTGGCCTACGACAACACCATTGCAGGTGAGGGGGTGGGGTGCACACACTTACACTCATACGTACACACATACTCTTTCATACATACACAGACTTACACTTACACTCTATCATATACACACACTTAAAGTCTCACACACACACACTTAAAGTCTCACACACACACTTACACACACACACAGTCTCTCACACACACACTTACAGTCTCTCACACACACTTACAGTCTCTCACACACACACTCACAGTCTCACACACACACACACACTCACAGTCTCTCACACACACTCACAGTCTCTCACACACACTTACAGTCTCACACACACACACTCACAGTCTCTCTCACACACTCATAACACACTCTACCTTACAGGAAGTGTGGGAAGGCAGTATGTGACAGCTGCAGCAGTAACAAATCCTGCATTCCTATTATGGGGTTTGAGTTTGACGTCCGCGTGTGTGACAACTGCCATTCTACTATAGCTGATCAGGAGTAAGTCATTATCTATCTGTCTATCTGTCTATCCATCCGTCTATCCATCCATCCATCCATCTATTTATCTATACTAACAAATATATATAGTTTAGGTCAGGTCAGGTCAGGTTAAATATCTCTATCTATAACCACATATAGGTCAGGTCAGGTTAGGTTAAATATCTATATCTATACCAACATATATAGGTCAGGTCAGGTTACATTATGTTAAGTTCTATTTAAGTAACATTACATTAAGTTGCATTAGGTTAGGTTATAACACAACACATATATTGTTTCTCATGTTGATGGTATTTTAATTTTTGTATTTCATTATTATTGTTGTTGTTGTTAGACTTAATGACATAATATTTTAGAGTTAACATAAGATTTATTATTTTTACAGAAGGTTAATAATATATTGTTGTTTTTATGCTTCTGACAGGACCTTAAATGGTGTACAGTAAGTTACCGTGTTTTGTTGTGTGTGTATATGGGTGTATGTATGTATGTATGTATGTGTATGCTTTTAACAAGATAAAATAATACTCTGAATAATCTTTACCCTTTGAGTACAATACCATTACCACCTTGTGTACGGCGACCTTCCAAACATCGTACTCAAGGGGCTACATCACTGTACTCAAGGGGCTAACACCACCGTACTCAAGGGGCTAACATCACCGTACTCAAGGGACTAACATCACCGTACTCAAGGGGGCTAATGTTATATATCTGCTAAAATAGTTAAAATGTTATATTGAAGAACATTAAGTAAATTGTTTCTGTTTACAGCCGAACATCTCTGGCCAAGTTCCAGGAGGTGAAGCATAATGTAGTCTACATGGATTTGGATGAAGAGGCTGGTATTCTCCTCACTGTCGGTAAGTCTCTCCTCTCACTCGCTTCATTCACGATTCATTTGTGTCTCACTCGCTTCATTCACGATTCATTTTTGTTTCGCTCGCTTCAGTTATGATTCACTTTCACTCGCTTCATTGTCTCTCCTCACCTCGTATGATGATGATAATATGATGATTACATTATATTAGGTAAAAAAAAACACTTAATCTAACCTAACCAAACGAAACCTTATCTAACCAAACCTTCTTTCATAGGTCAAGATCGTGTGATGAAGATATGGGACGTGTCAAGTATGTTGAATTGATGTCAGGTGAATGAAGTCACCTCACCTTGGCTCACAGAAATCCTACTACTGGCTGACTCCTGAAGGCTACTCAATCCTAGCTGACAGTGAGCTGAGGTTACCAATCCTAGCTGACAGTGAGCTGAGGTTACCAATCCTAGCTGACAGTGAGCTGAGGTTACCAATCCTAGCTGACAGTGAGCTGAGGTTACTCAACCCTAGCTGACAGTGAGCTGAGGTTACTCAATCCTAGCTGACAGTGAGCTAAGATTACCAATCCTAGCTGACAGTGAGCTGAGGTTACCAATCCTAGCTGACAGTGAGCTGAGGTTACCAATCCTAGCTGACAGTGAGCTAAGGTTACCAATCCTAGCTGACAGTGATGGTGCATTTTGTAAACAACTTTCATTGTTTGTGTTTACCCCAGTGACTGTGTGAGCCTAGGTGCTGGGCCAGGCACCCTAGGCACTCATATCAGAGCCTGGGTGCTGCCAGGTCATAGGCAGACTACACCCAGGTGATGAGCCTAGGTGCTGGGCCAGGCACCCTAGGCACTCATATCAGAGCCTGGGTGCTGGGCCAGGCACCCTAGGCAGCTTATAACAAAGTGTCGCATTTCAAAACATTGTTCGTATGGGGTGTAGCACGAAGCCAGTCTAAGTCAGTCACAAGAGGCACCAGCGACAGGTGGCGTGGCATTCCATGACAGTCATAGAACATTCTTACTCCGGTAATGATGATGACAATATGGGGGGGTTGGGGGGGGGGGACTTGGTCACTACAGCGTGGGTTGTCACTACAGCGTGGGTTGTCACTATGGGTTCCTTATATAAGTTTTGTACATCAGTTGAATAATTTATGACCTTTTTACAATTATTACAAGAGTCAGATAGAGACTTTAGTGTTATTTAAATAATTTATATAAAATAATTACGGTTATTGTAATGTTTGAATAATCATTTAGTTTTGTTTATTTGATAATTAATAATATCTGCTACAACACTACATTATATAATTGGTTAAAGAATAATTAATATATATAATTATTTAGTGTTTGGATAATTTAGGTTACAATAATTATTTTGTATATTATTTATTTGGACAAAACAAAGGTGACCCTCATTTAACTTAACCTATGTAGTGACAACTGTACCCAGGTTGTATTGTTAGATATACTATACTGTACTGTACTGTGCTGTGCTGTACTGTGCTGTGCTGTGCTGTACAGTATATAGCTCATCACTGTCCACCTTATAACATGTTAAAGGTAATTTGTGATTATTATCTGATGTAATTTGATTCTGTTACTTATTATTAAAGAGAATTTATTGTTTTTATAAATATGTACTTTACTGTACCTTACATGTACTGTACTGTATTCTAGTAGCTTCATGTTACTGTAGCCTAATTCTTATTCTAGGGATTGGTGTATGTCTGTGTGTATCAGCTCACCAATACACACACACCAGTCCCCCATAACATATCGTATATATAAACAGATTTGGTTTAATTTACTTCTATATAAATTAATACTCTTAAATATTTTGCTCACAAACTAATGATTTGTTTTAAGGTTATTTGCGTTTACTTTGTTGACACTGCGGCCACACGAGCGTACGTCTGTCCTCGACGCGTGATTGGCCAAAATAAATATCGATCTAGTACACTCGGCCACAACTCTAGGGCCCCATAGCATCACGTGCTGGAGATGTTACGTACGCTCGTGTGGTCGCACCTTAAGACTGTGTAAGTTTTTTGCTAGTCGTGTAGTCGAGACCAACTGCTAGGAACGTGTTAGTTGTAGTGGTGATTTTGGCCTTTTTTGGACGACCTGATTATTCGACCCCCTTCCCCCCCGACCCTTTAATATTTTTGTGGGGGGTTAAGCTGAGGGGTGACAATGTTTAGGGGGGGTTAATCTATCTTCAGGTGAGCACTTGGGGGAGGTATTCTTCAGGTGAGTCATAAAGGCTGGGATTATGAATGATCTTGTTGATGATCTCGACTGAATTATTTGTTATGTCCGTGTGACGCTGTTGGCCAGAACATGAAATAAAGAACACACTGTAATATTCATCTGTATGTGTGATGCTGTAAAATCTTGCTGAAATATTATGTGATGCTGTAATCCATCACATATGTAGGAATACAGGACTTGTAATATACTGTTTCATGACTGTATCATGTTCTTATGGGTACAGTTATGACTTGTAAAATATGTGAACTGATGCTGTAATCTATCACGTTTGAGGGTACAGTAACAAGTGATTGAAATTTACCACTTGATGCTGTAATCTTCCTGTAACCAATGACATATTTAGGGGGAGGAATACATTACAATAATACAGTAAGAATTCTCTCTTTTTAACCACTGATGGGAATACAGTTTTAAGAGCAGCTGAACCTCTGAAGGGGATAAGTTTAGGAACTATTACAGTTTATGTATCCTAGATGGCTGTAATGTATTAAAAAAGGTATATTAATGTATACTTTTGTTTATCGTGGGGTGATTATTGGCTAGAGATCTACTGAACAATGTTAACTCATTGTATTACCAAAGATAAAAGTTTGGAAATGATAAAAGTTATAAACTATATTTTATTTGAAAATTGTTTTAGAATAAACTTGAGGGATATTTTCTACAAATATATTTCTTTAACCTAGTGTATGGGGTGACCTCTGAGCTGAATAAAACCATCTGCTGTTAACCAAGTAACGACCCAGTAGTGAAGATGTCTAACGATGTGAGCTGATGGATGCTATGTCACATGATATAGTGGTATTTTAAACATTATTGTGTATGTACAGTAAACATAGCTTATATTATGACTTAAAAACGTCCTCAGGTACATAACCTGTTTATAACCTGGGGACCACTGTACTGTATAACACTGTAGATATAACGAAAACTATACACAGCTCCTCCCCGACTTACGACGGGGTTAGGGACCCAAATCCAGGTTGTAAGTCAAAAATGCTTAAATAATACATAAAAAATCTAAAATGGTTGTCCCTTTTTCTTCTCAACACCACAAAACTCTCACTTTTAACCTTGCCAGATATTTTAAAGTGAATTACAAACGCAAATTTTCTCTGTGTACTGATGTCGGGACTCGGGAATACGTAATTTGACAAAATTTTGCTATGACTGAGGCGGTCATATGTCCGGGTGGTCGTAAGTCAGGGAGGAGTCGTATTATTAAGACACGTACTTTATATAACAATATTATATTTGAGATCAATGAACAAGTTAACTACAACAGGTGTGAGATAATTACCTTAATATCTGACGTTGTTTACCTGTGGCCAGTCACTAGTAGAGGTACTTTCCCTGCTGCCTGCTTATCTGCTAGCTGTTTCCACTTGCTAGGACGTCTTATCTGCTAGTCTTCTAATCTGCTAGGTCTTCTAATTTGCTAGCTATTTCTAGCTGCTAGCTGTTGTTACCTGCTAGGACTTCGTATCTGCTGGAACTTATCTGCTAGACTTCTAATCTGCTAGTCTTCTAATCTGCTAGACTTCTAATCTGCTAGTCTTCTAATCTGCTAGTCTTCTTATCTGCTAGCTATTCCTACCTACTAGCTGTTGTTACCTGCTAGTACTTCCTACCTGGAGACACCTGGTCACAATAAAGAATTAAAAACATCACATATTGAGTAAGTTTTATTTTGAAACATATTTACAACGCTCAAGAGTTGTCGCCAACACAAAAGCTTAACATAAAAGCCTAACACAATAGCTTAACATAAAAGCTAAGCACAAAAGCTAAACATGAAAGCTATATAAAATCCTTAGTTGTCGTTGGGCCGTTAATAAATCGGAAAAATGTTAGGGATTTGGCTTAACCATTGAACCAGCTTAAGAAGATCTAATGTTTGAGGTGGAAAAAAAAAATCTTGTTTATATAGAAGAAAAAACAGTAAAGCCTCATTATAACGAACTATTATGGTGAAGTAAGTCCATTATATTGAGGTTTTACTGTAATAAAACCATTTACCAGAACGTGTTATATTACTGAGAACAAAAACAAGAGATTAATATGAAGGATAATTTTATTTATTACAGTAAACGCTCTTTAGTTCGCTGTAATATGAACGACTGTAATTATGATAAACATTACATCGTCATCATCACAAGAGTTACTGTCACTTTAACAATCTTCGTACAACCTCACAGCCCCATGGTCAATTTAGCCACAAGTTACGGTGTCGTTAACAGAGGCTTAGCGACCAATACAAAACAAATGTTGGTAGTTGCGTCGCCTACAGCACGAGGGAATTTTTTTTACTGTGGTAGACAATGATCAGCTATTTGCTTTCTAATGTTTACATCCTCGGTGACACAGCTTAGGTCATAATCCTCGGTGACACAACAGCTTAACCCCGTTGACACAGCTCAGGTCATAATCCTCGGTGACACAACTTTGTGTGACCATCCACGTAAAAACTAACTCACTTAAGTGGATTTCGCTCAAAAACTCGGAAAACATCGGATAAAATTACGGATTTTTAGCTGAAGCGTTTGACACATTCTTCTCTTTCTGGGGTCATGCATGTACAGACTTGTCCCTGAACCAGTCTCCTGTTTTGATATAACCAGACCAGACCAGTGTTGTTCTGTGTCGTGTTGTGTTGTGTTGTGTTGTGTTGTGCTGTGCTGTGTTGTGTTGTGTTGTGTTTTCTCCTGCACTCAAGCACACAGTATAGATGTTAAAGTGGAAGTGATTAGGTAAAACAAGAGTAGAAGTGAACAATACTGTTTCTTCTTCATCCTCCAACACCACTCTCCATCCTCCAACACCATTCTCCATCCTCCAACACCATTCTCCATCCTCCAACACCACTCTCCATCCTCCAACACCATTCTCCATCACCAATCTCCATCAGCCTCATACGGTACTCACAGACCTTGCCCCACCATATACTGAGCCTTATACTCAAAGATCACGTCATATGGGAAGCTACTTGTCCACCAGAGGCACAATAATATTCATCTTTATACCTAAGCAACTAATATAACAACTGAGGTGTTACTTAAATAATAACAAGTAACTTAAGTAACACTGTATTGTTGGGTGTTACTTGATCATGGTGAGAACTGGTGTAAGAACCGGTCGGTGGAGTAATCAGCTGTAAACTCCCGAGGTTTGTAAACAAATTATGGCCCGTAATAAACCAGAGACTAGATAAACAACAAATTATGGCCCGTAATAAACCAGGGGCAAAATAAACAACAAATTAAGGTGCGTAATTAAACCAGAGACTAGATAAAGAACAAATTAAGGTGCGTAATTAAACCAGAGACAAGATAAAGAATAAATTAAGGTGCGTAATTAAACCAGAGACAAGATAAAGAATAAGGCAAGCTTGTAACACTCCCTAGTTGTACTCTGTGTGGAAGACTTTGCTACACAACAACAATATTAACAACATCGTCAGAATATTTATCCAAGGCAAATTAACACAAAAAAAAAACATCAACGATTTGTTATAGTGCGAGACCGAACTAAGCGATGCCCTATTACAGTGCGAGACCAAACTAAGCGACGCATTATTATTAGTTATTAAATCACTGTCAAGTACAACGAGCCTCGGGAGATCACCTTATTCCTGCCTGTAGATTTGACTATTTTGGTGACATTCTTTACCTTAACAGCCAATCAGTGCCTTACTTTAACAGCCAATTATAGTCTCTCATGATCAGCCAATTAACATCCAGTTATACACTCGGTAACCATTATAAACACAAGGCTTAACAGAGGCAGACGTAGGGTAAGCTGACGCACCAAAATCAGGACCAATATCTAAGGAGAATTACAGCAGTAAAGCTTAAAGGCCAAAAACATATAGTCTACTGTATTCAAGCTGGGGAACAATTACAGTTATTCTCCGTCACTAACGATGGCTACGGTAGTTGATAGTTACACCATGTGAGACGGTGAAAGCTACACCATGTGAGGCGCTCGTACTATTGCCGTGGTTTGTGGTGTAGACTGGGGGTGGGGGATATGAGCCTCCATGGAAGGTATGTTGGCCACACTACACACCTGGCCACACTACACACCTGGCCACACCTAGTATAGGGTAAGGGGTAGAGAGGAGTGAATTATCTCCGATCACACTTGACTGTCGTTAAGGCGCTGGACGACCTCGTAACGACCACTGACCTTATCGTACAGGATGACATTATATACTACGATGAACTTGACTTAACTAAATGATATTCAGCTGCAAAAATTATATATCGGAAGATAAAATAAATATATATATATATAAATCTGCTCGTAAGTAGTAATATACAGAGACATATTATCCATAAATGTGAACTATATTATAGATGTAGAGTTAACCTTATATATATAAACTGGCTATGGACAGATGTAGTTACGTGTACTGTACCCCACTGTACTGTACCCTACTGTACCATATAGTAGGGTACAGTACTGCTACACATTCTAATAACTTCTCTAACACTTAGGAAATATTATTATCATGTTAAGCTGAAACAGTGAAGCTCTGTCTTGGTTGGATCTTTTCTCGCCTTCCCCCGAGGCAAATACAGTACAGCACGCACTCACTCACTCACTCACTCACACACTCACACTCACTCACTCACTCACGCACTCAAAACTGACGCCATTAACCAATATCCTTAAACAAGAATCGTGTCAACGAATAAAATTTAACTTAATCTAACCTATACCAAAAGGAGTCCATTATATCAAGGGCTCATTATATGTAAAACCTCCATTTAATGAACTATATAGAGATGAAAGTCCATTATATCAAGGGCCCATTATATGTAAAACCTCCATCTAATGAACTATATAGAGATGAAAGTCCATTACATCAAGGGCCCATTATATGTAAAACCTCCATCTAATGAACTATATAGAGATGAAAGTCCATTATATCAAGGGCCCATTATATGTAAAACCTCCATCTAATGAACTATATAGAGATGAAAGTCCATTATATCAAGGGCCCATTATATGTAAAACCTCCATCTAATGAACTATATAGAGATGAAAGTCCATTATATCAAGGGCCCATATATGTAAAACCTCCATCTAATGAACTATATAGAGATGAAAGTCCATTATATCAAGGGCCCATTATATGTAAAACCTCCATCTAATGAACTATATAGAGATGAAAGTCCATTATATCAAGGGCCCATTATATGTAAAACCTCCATCTAATGAACTATATAGAGATGAAAGTCCATTATATCAAGGGCCCATTATATGTAAAACCTCCAT